GGATGTTTTGCTGGCTTGTGATGGGGTGTGAACCGACAGTCTGTAGAGTTTTCCATCTGGTGTGGGTGAGTGATAGTCTACTTTGATTTTGGTTAAGGTAGATTATCATTTACAGTGTGATCATTTCTGCAGACTGTTGAGGGTTCAGCCTCCTGACGAGTCGGTGAAACTCCGACGAAACAGTTTGTCACAGCCCCTTTTTCCCAGTACATACAAAATTTGTAGGGTTATTTGATAACACTATTAGTAAATCGGACGGTGGGTACTCGAACTCCTGATTTGTTTATGCACTGTGACGTGTGCACAACATGCACCCATCTGACATATATATATATATAGTCACAAACAGAACTGCCCGGTAATATATATATATATAAATCGGACTCTGATTCACAATGTGACAATATATATATATATATATATCGTCAAATATATATATATATGAGTCGGTGAAACTCCGACGAAACAGTTTGTCACAGCCCCTCGTTTGTTGTCCTCTTCTCCCTCTCTGCCTACGGTTTACCGGGCAGTTCTATTTGACGATATATATATATAAAATAATATATACCAAGGTGATTCTGATCGCTTTTTAAAATTTTAAATGAATTAAAAAGTTTAACGATGGTCTCTAACTCGGTCCCACTTTTGGGATTTGGGACTCGGTGGTTGGTTGTTGCTTCAGTATCCAAGCCCAATGTTGACAAATCTTCGACGAAAGTGCAGACGATGGCGACCTGATGAGTGGTGTTCTGATCGCGATCGCGGCCCTGGAAAGTCGTCGGTCGCGACCGACGACGGCGCTGTGAGGAGAAAGAGAAGGATGGTTAATTCCGGAAATGGTAATGGTGACACGTGTAAGAATCTTCTCGACGTCCGATTTGTTAATCAAGAGGGTAAATATAAGGTTAATAATGATTATTATTATAATTATCCTGAGCTGATGCAGCGGCAGCCAAACGTGTTGATGTCAACAATATCGCCACGGCCATCGAGGAGAAAAGTGGTCGGTTTTTCGGGGCTTCCTCCTCCTCATCATAATGATTGGCAAGACGTTAGCGATCCCGATCCCGATCCCCATCGGATTCGACGACAGCCTAGCACCAGTTTAAGCGTTGACGGCCTGCATGGCCCTGGTCGTCTTCAAAGCCGGATTCATTGCCACGGCCCTGTGGACGGCCGCCGCAGCCATAGCCATTCTTCCATAGCCGGGCTTCTGATGGTTCCTCCTCCTCCGACGACGACGACGAATCGTCGTCTTCTCTCTCATGCTCCTCATTCATCTATGGTGCCTTGCGATTTGCATGGCAAGCATCCGGAGTTCGATCGGTACAGAATAGCAGGAGAGTTGAGGGCGTCGGGATGTGCCCGTCGGTGTGAGCCCGCCACGTCGTCCATGCCACCTGGACACACATGCAGACCACATTCATTCGCGTGTCCTGAACATGGGAGAGCTCAGGAGCATCAACTGCTGCCACGTGTCACAAGGAAGAACATTGACGACCCTCCGGGATTTCATGACGCCAGAGATCTCGATCCCGATCCCGATCAGTGGCTCTGGAGATTGCGAAGTGCAGATTCCGAAGGGATGGACGAAAGAGGAAAGTACGGCAGGAGAGTAGTGGCAGCCTGTGATGCGTCGGGACCCTCTGGCAAACTGCGGCAATTTGAAAACGACCCCGAGTATCAGCGAATGCGAGAGAGAATGGACATGGTATTTAATAAAAAAAAAGAAAAAAAGAGGCCTCCTTTCTCCCTTCAAATGCGCACGGTTTCCGGCCTTGTCGCACACAGTATCCAGTACTTTTTTTTTTTTTTTTTTTTTTTCCCCCACGACTCATTTTGTCTGTATAGGCACCTGGAGCATGGTCCCATTAGCAGTCGGATATTAGGAGTGTGGCCGATCCAGTGTGACACTGAGTGGCAGCGGGTTGACAGGTTCATTACGATTTTTTTTATTTTTTATTTTTTATATTTTTGGTTCATTACGAATTTCTGGGCTGAGAAAACAGGAAAAAATGGGAAAAAAAGAAAAAAAAAAAGAAACAGAGACCTCCCACCGGAAATCACGGCAGAGTGCTTCCCAGCCTGATGGTGGTGGTTGCAAAAACAGTGAACAAAGTAACTGCCACATTTTTTTTCTGGAATAAACTCAACTTCTGTGAGCAGTGATCCTGACGCCCTCCATATATATATATACTCCGTGATTGAAGGAGGGCTCCACCCACCAAATGAGATAATTGCTGCACAACAGCCAGCGAGCAAAATACTGAAAATCTTCTATCCAGTGGGCCTATGGCCGACCCCGCTCTCTTTTGGGGTTGGCCATACCCCCAACTGATCTAAAAGATTCTGGCGGGAAGCTTTCTTTGCACGGGCATGCCCAGTGTTAAGGAGAGGAGGAGGGGAACAAAG